AACTATATAAAAAGGAAGCTTTTAAAATTCTCACGTTTCAATTTTTCATTAATTCTCAAAAATAGTTTTCGTCATTTGAAGAGCATTTCCGTTTTATATAAGTGATTCTGATTGGTAAATCAGTAATTGATCTGAAACATTCATTAATAATAAAAATGTAAAGGAATTCATCTTTAATTTTAAAAATAGATGAAAAATATTTAGAAATGAAAAAATTTTTGGGTATTCACTAATTTTTTTTTTTTTTCATTTAAAAAATTAGTCTTACCGATTTAATTGTTTTTTAGAATTTTTGTGTCTCAGGCAGATATACAATTTTTAGTTTTATAAAATCGTTGTGCGTACATAAAAGAAACTAAACTAATTCGTAAATGCAAACTTAAAATTAAAAATTACAATCAGTTTGTAAAAAATTAAAAATTGTTTGATTGCTTAATTGAATGTGATTATACACTGTTGCATGTGTTCGTGCTTGTATAAAAATTAAACAGTTGTAAAACTAAAAATTAAATGTCCCACTGAGCTCTAAATCTCTTGATTGAATTTTATTCAAATTTATTGAAATTGGTTTAATATTAGCATAGTTTTTCTAGTATACGTTTTTCCAACAGTAATGGTTTAGTGTAAAAGGTTATATAAAGCGCAATAAGAAATTAAATTCCAAGTTTTCGAAATTCTTAAGTTTCCCTATGAAATTCTCAAGTTTCTCTTTCAATAAAATTAAAAGATAACGGTTTTAATTTTCTAAAGACCTTAATTTAAAGGTCTATATATTTTCGTTAATTTGTTATTTCCTTGCTTAGGCTTTCATATTTCACAGCAATACAATAAAATAGGCTATAAATAGTAATACTTTAAGAGCAATACAATAAAATAGGCTATAAATAGTAATACTTTAAGAGCTTTATGACCCTATTTTCAGATTAAATTTTTTGTTTAATCGTCAAATATTACCATTTTGTATTTTCTTACTCTAATTTTCTTATATTTATATTTGTTAAATTTAATGTGAAACAATACCATGGGTATAATTTATATAATGTTGAACTACACCATATACATATACTTGTAGTTCTACTGATACATTTAATTTTAAACCATGTGAGATTTTGGAATTTTTTAATTTTTTATTTAAAAGATATTAATGATTTTTTAATCTTTTAAAATTATTGTTTTTAGATTTTAATCCTAAAAGACTAAAAAAGTTTCATAAAAACCAAAAAATAAATGATTATTCGGCAACTCTTAATTGCATTTCCAATATGTATAAATAGGTATGTAATAATATTAGAATAGTTCTACTTTGATTGTGGCGCTATAATTAAAAATTATTGTGTCGAAAAAAATTTCCTTTGAAATGGAGCTTTAATATTTAAAAAATGTGAATTGAACACAAATAAAAGATGAAAAAAAAGTCAAAGAAAGTTTAAAACATTTTGATTCTATAGATGAGAGGAAGCAAAAATATACATAATATTATATATATACATATATATACATATGTACACAGTGCACTCAAAAGCGTTTGAAATTATATTTTTGAATATTTGAGACTATCGATTTTGTTTTCTTTTTTTTTGTTTTTTGAGGAAAGAAGACATACAAGCAGCATTCAGATTGCAATGCATCCTCTTCTTGATTAAATAGTAATTTTTTGCTTTGTATTACAACTTGAGACAATATTTTTAATTTTTCTGTCTTCGCCCCATATTTTGAGAAAATTATTACTTTAGAAATTTGGAATTTTAATATTATTCACTTTGATAATTTATTCAAAGGATGTATAAATTAAATTTTAATTATGTTGGTGATCATGAGATTTTTAGATATAATTTAGTAATATTTTGATTTTTACATTATTCTTTGAAAATGCATATGTATGTATATAGGTACTATATTTATACTTAAAAATTTATAATTAAGAGAAATCACCTTGGCATCGATATTTAAAAAAAACTTTTTTAGTGTAAGAATTAGTAGATGGAATCTAATGTGTGTATGTATGTACATTGTTGGGAAGAATATGGTGTCTTAGCAATAACATATTAGCAAATGAAATTTTAAGAAATTATTTAATGTTGAGAAAAGAGTGAAATGGAAAAAGTTCATAATTTAAAAAATTTGGGATTTCATTTAATCTTCATGCATTTAATGTCAGGTCCCCTTTACTTTATCAATTGCTATGTAGGAGTCGCATAAATTAAATTAATAACCTAAATTATAATTTTTTCTGTTTAAAATGATATTAAATAATTTAAGCCGATTTTCACAATCCACATAGAATAGACCTATTATTCTACCAGCTATTACCTTTAGCTTCACCTTTTATTTATTTGTAAAGAAAAAAATTCTTATTCTATTTAATAATTCAAATAAACCTTTAAAATTAAAAATTTTTCTCAAACAAACAACTCTTTCATACGAGTTTTTGTTACTCTTGATCAACTTACATGAGCATTATTGCTAGGCCCCTGATCACTATTACGTAACCCTCTGCAGAGCTCGCAAAGCCTCGCCCAAGCAGGTTAGCATTAAGCGGCTCACAACCTCACAGCCACATAGCAAATGTTTTGCTGTCTTATTTTCTTCCAAACAGAGGCGACACAGCTCATTCTTCACTTTGAAAATCCTTTTGAGGTGAACCATAAAGAGACAATAAAATTATGTCCAGAGAACACTTGGGTATGATTTACATATGTATGTATGTATGCATATTGTAGATGTCAGATAAATTTACTAAATCATTCATGACTTTGAACTATATGATAGCATTCAGTCAGGAACAAGTAAATTTTATCCACAATCCAGTTTGAGCTAATTAAAACTTTCTTTTAAATTCAATAAAAAGACCACACAGATATTTTATATTTCAATGTAAATAATAATTGAAATTTTTCAAGAAAATTTATATGTGGAACACTTTTAAACTTCAAAACCCTTTAAATGTTGAGTTCCTTAACTTAAGTACAAGAAATTATTTTTATTAAAATTCTAATTTTTATGAATTCTTTTTAAGAATTGAAACAGTCAGATAAAATACGTAAGTACGCAAATCATATCAGCTAGATTTGACGATGTGTGAAAAAAAAACAATTATACGAAATTGCTGTATTCATTCATAAAATTAAATCATACTTTGATTAACTACAATATCATGAAAGAAAAATAAAGATATTGAAATAATTGCAAGAATAACAATACCTATAACTTCGTACAATAGGACGTCACAATACTAATATAATTTAATTGGACTCGTTTTTCTTTCAGCTCATCAGTTTCTGATTTGATCAATAAGATATGATTTTGACTGAATACCTTAAGATACTAAAAATTTGTGGTATAATTATTATTTAAACAAATGAAATATAGTACTAGTAAAATGAAATACAAAAAAAATTATTTGAAAGTACTTTTTTCTAAAATATTTCTAGAATCAAAATGCAATAAAAATAAAATATTCTGGGTAAATTATTGCCTAATGGAAAGAACTATAATTTTCGAAGTACGATCGATGTTAAACTTTTATTAATCACGTTTTTACATAATTTTAATAAAAAAATATTATCCAACACTGTCTATACAAAATTATCTTACAAATAGTTTTTTCATCAGAATACACAAAACTTGATTTAGTTCCTTTATTTAAATAATCAATACTTACCTTTAGTTCCTATGAATGATAGTAATCAGCCTACTTTAATACTAAATTGGTACTCGTATAATTTTTGTGCTTGTTTAAATTTTCTGTTTACGAAAAATGTGCTGTTTTAAAAGTTTTTGGAATTTTGAATTGATAGAAACGTAAAGGCTTAGAATGAAAATATTTTATATTGTAACTGGAACACGTACCTTCTGGTATTGGAATTTTGTCTTGAAAGAATATCAATTAAAAAATGGCGAACATATTGTACATAACCAATAAAAACCTTAATCCTCATACTACAATAGTTAGTAAAGAATAATACAGGCGCCCATTATTTATACATAAAGCATCAATATTGCATAAGGAAGTCCTAATAAAAAGCAATACTGTTTATGTTGAGCATCTATCGTAATCTCTGTATCTAATATAGCTAAATCCATTTTCAAATAAATAAAAATTCTTAAATTCAGAACAACTGAAGCTACACTTTTGGAGGACTTTTTTATTATATTCGAATTATTCTACTAAGCATTATCAATTTAGCGCTAAAACATGATTCTCAGCTGTTTGTTAATAAAAAAACATAATAGTGAGTGCTTGAAACATGTAATAGTGAGTAGTTTCTACATATTTTAATAGTTTTTGAGAAAAAATTATCATTATGGTAAAAACCTATCTTATTTATCTTTTAAATCATTTCATTTTTATTTATATTCGCCATAGTATTGAGTTCTGTATCCCTTAAAAAACGTATACAGATCTTAATATATTTCTGATATTCTGTAACCCACGGAATGCCAATTTTCTTTTATAACAATGTACATATACAAGGACTAGTAAGATTCTTCTTTTACTTTCAGAAGTATTTAGAATTCGAATATATCAATTGAATTTTAAGTATACGGCTCGAAAGCACGTTTGCAACTTATTTTTTAAAAATTAGTGTAAGTGTACTTGAGTAAAATAGGAAAATATGTGTAATAACATATTTTGTTTCTTTTTTCTTATCTTTTTGAAAATCTATTTCAAAATTTACTTAGCTTTTCAATTTATATTCTCAAAATTATGGCTATTAAGAATATTATACTTTATTCTCTACGAAGCAGTTACATTTTTTCACATACTAAAAATCCTGAAATATGTATAATTATTAAAGTTGATTATTGCTATTAAAAATGTAAGTTTTGCTTCTAAAAATTAGCAGGTTTTGATTCATCATCGAAATTATGAACATTTTAAATTTTCAGTTTTTTTAAAACTAGTTTCAAAAGAAAAACGTTAAATGTTGTTAATTAAAAGAAAGATTTTAAAAATTGAATTAATCAAGAATTAAAGAAGTAACAATTATTTATAAACATTGTATTTAACTATTGTATCTACATTATATTAATTATTACAATATAAATTACAATTTATTTCACATGGTAATATGGCGTTTACACAAACATTTTTATAATGACAATATAAAATATTGCAATATTTTTTCACAATTAAAAATACAAATTTTTAAAACAAAATTGGTATTTATGCACTATCACTGCTACTCTTACTATCACAAAAAATATCTGCTTTAGAAATGTTGTTATATCTTTCTTGAACTTTTTTCCACTGATTAACTTTTTTTATTTTGGTTTGTGACAAAACAGGATAATTAACTTCTTTACAACCTAAACCAATAGTACCTTCATTCGCAACTACTTTAATCTAGAATCAAAAAAGAATTATTACATCTTATTAAAAGTAAATTCGAATTTCTGAATCAATTAATTACAGGCTCCACTAATCCATCTTTATCTTTTCCCAGACTTTCACCCTCCTTCCATCCAAGTTTAGAAAGTAATTTAAAGCCTTTGTTTGTATTAGCAATTTGTCTAAAATTATTAATTCTACTTGAAACAAAACATAGGTTAGTATTGAAATTTGAACTTACGTTTCTGTTGAGGCTATTTCAGTTTTTTCATGTTGGCTTGAACTTCCCACTTTTGCCCTTCGATCTGAAGCTCGATCTTTATATTTTTCAGATAGATTTGATTTTTTTTCCGTATATTCTATATGAAAAAAATTTTATGGAATAAAGTTCATCCAAAAAAAAAATAAAATATTTAATAAAATTAACATACTTTCGTTTTCTAACCCATAACGCTTTTGCAATTTTTTTAATTGTTGTTTGTGGCTTAACAATTCCATTTTTTCAACATCCCTTGTTTCTATTAGAAGGCCAGGCTCACAAAGGCCACATGTTGTATTACCAGAATGAATATGACACATAAGTTTTGTTTGAGATATCTGTAAAATACTGCCGTGAGTAATATCAGTCAATTCGCTTTCTTGCTTAGCTGATGAAATACGCCTTCCGTTTAAAAGGGTTCCATTTCTCGAGCCCAAATCTACACATTGATAAATCTCTTTCTTTTCATCATAAGAAAATTTCAAATGAAACTATAAAGTAAATTTAATTGTATTGTAAGTATGCAAAATTTTTTTATAATTTAAATTAAGTATACCTTAGAAATATTTATGTCTGGCAACACAACATCGTGATTCCCTTCTCTCCCCAAGGTTCCGCCTTTAAATGTTACTATATATAATGTTCCAACTTTTATTTTGTCTAAATTAGTCTCTTGAACAATAATACGTAAAGAAGGCGGATATTTTTTCGCGATATCTGTGAAATTAATTTTTAATTAAAAAAAATTAAAAAAAAATTCATACCATTGTTTCTGTTATTGCAAAAATTAATGATTTTGAAAAAGCGGATTTCTTTATACATATGCTTTAAGCAAAATAATTTCTTTACCTTGAATGTGTGCTATGTCATAATTTTGAACATTATCTTTTTCACTATCAGAGGAAGAAATCTCCCCATCTTCCCTATTTTCTGGCACAATAAAGTCGTCAGAGTCATCTTCACTTCTGTAAATTTTTCGTCTTTTGTTTGGCTTCCGTTTCAAACCTCGCCTATTGGATTTACTTAGTAAAAAATCTTGTTCTCCATCGTTTACTATCCTTTCATCACCGTGATAGTTTCTATTGTAATCATCATTTTGTTGTTGAGCCTGGAATTGTTAAAGAAATCCGCGTTTTCATCTTTGGTAGCAGTTTTATAGCTTACCTAATGCGTTTGAACGCATTTTATTTAAATTTAGTTGAGAGAATTCATTTATAAATTGATTTAAAGTATTTTCATGAACCTAAAATTAAAATATAAAGATTATTATTAAAGAAAAACATAAAAAAAAAATATGTACCTGATCTATTTTGCTGCTTTGAGGATGAATTTGAGAATGAAATTCAAATTCATTTTTATCTTGATTAAATTTATAATAACAACCAGTATTTCCATCATAATATAAACCATATTCCTGAAACAAAATAATTTTTATTTATTTTTTTTTTTTGTAACTTAAGAAACAAGTGTCCATAACATGCATTGTGTTTCTTGTAAATCATTTAAAAAGTGATTATTTTGTGCAATAAATATTTGATTTGAACTGTATTTTGCTAACATGATTATTTATGTTTCATAGATATTACTATAGTTACAAAATATTTTGCTAAATTAGTTATGCTAGTTATATTACTCAATTACTTTAGTAAATTTTATTAAACTATCGCTTATTATGTTTAAAGCATGAATTGAAAGTTAACCTAAACCAATTTTAAAACTAACATGATTTCGAATCTTAACCATTTTTTTTCGGGTTTCAATCACCCATATCAAAAATACTATCGAAATTGGACACGTTTAATATGTATAAATAGCTCTTACTGCATTGTAGTAATAACCAGTCTTTTGATCATAGTATAAACCAGAAGTGGGTTCATAAACAAAACCATTTTCATTTTGTGTTGTTTCTGCTACTTGTCGGATTTCATCAATAAAGTTTACATTATCATTCAATTTTTCTAAAATAATTTAATTTTAGCATAAAATCATATTTAAAAATGTCTAAATACCATTTTCTTTTTTAGTTAATTCTTTCTCTGAATTTTTGCTTGACACAAATGACGAATCGGATTCATTGAAATTTGCTCCTGTAAAGCCTTTTTTAATTTTTCTGTATTTTTTTTGCTAAAAATAATTTGAGGTTAGGTTTGAAATTTTCTAAACTGGCTCAGGAACCATCATTTACCCATATTTTAACTTTTTCTTTATACTTTTTTAACTTTTTTTCTCTTTTTTCTACAAATTTGTGCAAATTTTTCACATAATCGATAATTTCTTTGTAATCCATTTCTTTCAACTTTTTCATATTTTTTATAACATAGAATTTTTCTTTTTTATCATCCTTGCTGATAGCCTCATTGTCAGTGCAAGAATTCATTTTTATATTACAATTTTCAGTTAAATTAATTAAGAGTTAAAATAAAATTAATTTTAAATATTCTACGAAATTAGATGTGCAATCAAAACAAAATTATTCATTTACTTGTCATTAAGTGTCAAGTAGACAGCGCTGATAAATCAATATTATTCTGTTTTACATTTCAATGAAATTTAAAAAAAAACGCAACCTACAAAGTGTGACAGTAGGTATGTTCCTGGGCCCCGAGAATGTTTTTCTATACCATTTAAGATGCAAATCACAAATTCGCTAATACTTGCGTCGATTTTTCGATAAACTTCAATTGTTAAATAATTTGTTTGCGAATGGTGTTTCAATAAATTTTATGGAAAATTAAATTTTATTGAAATTCAAAAATTTTTATTGAAATTTATTATTTATTTCCTATAAATTGATTTATTTTGTTTTTTTTTTCAAAACTTTCAGTTCTAAGTAAACCAAAAACCCTCACAATTTAAAATCATCACTGTTGCTTAAATATAATGCTGTGCATACAACTTTTTACTTTTTTAAATAATAAGTACACTGAATCCTTCACTTTTATATTTTAATTTTGTAGAATTGTCAAATATTTTAGTAAATGCTAGTTAAAAAACGTATCTGCGTTAGCAACTATATTTTTGTGCACATTTATTGCAAGGTGCCATTTATTTATGCATTGCAACTCTGATGCGCACAGATTGGCGATGCTCATTTTTACATGGTGGAGCCCTTGATCCTCACAAAATAAGGTGATATTCGAATAAAATTTCGGAAAAAAACTTAAGTCATAAAATAGAAATTTTGTTTTATTTCAAAAATTCAAACTGGAAGGGATTAAAAAACAATATTATAACTATTCCAAAATCGCGAGAATTAAAAATTCATTAATAAAACCTTATTCTACTAGACGCGTCAAAGTTGTGAAGTTTTTTTGTCTCATCGCACTTTTTTTGCTATTCTACTGGGCGCGAAATGTAATGTGGCAGAAGAAGCGGAACTCCAAATTTTTTGATGTTAAAAAAGTTAGAAAATTGTTTTCTAAATAAAAGTATAAAAAACTATAAGTAACAAATAGTAAATTAGAAAAAGAAAAATATTTTCGATCTTTTCTCGGTTTTGGGTAAAAGCAGAAGCAAAGTGATGAAGAAAATTAGGAAAATAAATTTTCCATTAACTCTATTAAAATTTGAAATTACTGTCGATTTATTTTTACACTGAAATTAATCAAATAACTCAATATTGCTATTAAAATATTTAATTATACTTATATCTTCTCCATTTTCTTTAAATTTGATTTTTTAGCAACTTTTTTATATCTCTTTAAAATATGGCAATTTTCAAAAGTACGTCTAGTAAAATAACATTATAGACGCTTTTTGAGACAAAATATTGAAACCCGCGTACATAAAGTAGCAAATTTGTTTGAATAAGGCTGAGTGATTAACCGTAACTTTTACTGAAGAAAAAGTGTTTAAGTAAAGACGTTAAAAATTCAAGATAGTTCAAGTGTATGAGACAGAAACTGTATTAGGAAAGTAAATTTTTGTTAAATTGTGAAAAATTTAATGTAAGGTAAATCAAAAATGCTAAAAATTTTTTGTATACCGCTGGATTGTTTTTTTTTTTCATTCCTATGTATGCATATGTAACATGCATGTGGTTTCCTAACGATATACTGCAGGTTTAAGAACCATCTAAGTAAACTGTGCTTAAGAACTGAAGAGTCTTGCATGTTCTGTGTTAAATTTAAAGGAATATGAAACTTTTAACTTTGAGTGTTGTTATTTAAATATGGCATGTGCAATAAATTCTGATTCATTTTTTACTAACCAGTACGAAATCTGCAAATATTTCTCATTAATAAGAAAGTCATTCAAAAGGTTTGATAATAAAATATAACACATTTATATAACTATGTAGGTTTACACCTTATTATACAATATATTTTTTTTTTATGTACTTTGTACCTATTTATTTATTTACAGCAAATTTAAATATTCAAAATTGACCACTTCAGTACATGTAAGTATTACTTATGTACAAAGTAAATTATTTTTTTAAAATGTAAAAAAAACTTTTAACTTAATACAATTAAATTATTTCTTAAACAATTTTTATTAAAGCTTTGTTAAAATTTCACCCTTGTTGTCGATTTTCTCTGTTAATATCATCATTTTGTGGTGGCAAAATATTAGTGGTAACATTTTCGATTTTATTTTCCTTCTTCTCTTGTTTTTCCTGTTGTCTAACTAAATCGTAATATAATCCTCTTTTTAACATTAATTCATCATGTTTTCCCATCTTAAAAAAAATAATTTGTAAGTTCTTCTGTACTTAGATATAAAGTTTTAAATTCGAAAAAAAAAAATACCTCCACAACTTTTCCTTTATCTAGTACAACAATCAAATCTGCATTTCTTATTGTCGAAAGCCTATGAGCAATAACTAATGTAGTTCTATTAATAATAGCTGAATCTAAAGCTTTTTGTACTTCAGCTTCGCTTGAAGCATCTAAAGCGCTTGTTGCTTCATCTAAAATTAATACTTTTGGTTCTTTAACTAGAGCACGAGCAATAGCTATTCTTTGTCGTTGGCCTCCACTCATTTGAATACCACGTTCACCAACATTTGTATCGTATCCGTCAGGTAAAGAACTTACAAAATCATGACATTGTGAAAGTTTCGCTGCTTCCATAACCTAAAATAAGAATTTATAATCTCTAGCCATATTTAAAAAAAAACTAATTTTAAATAACCTCCTCTTCAGTAGATTTAGGACGGCTATATCGAATATTTTCAAGTACTGAAGTTGCAAATAAAACAGGTTGCTGTTCTATGAAACCAATAACTTCTGTTCTTAACCAGTACGGAGATATGTATTTTATGTTATAGCCATCAATTTTTATTGTTCCACCAGTTGGTTCATAAAATCTTTCTAAAAGGGCAGCTATTGTGGATTTTCCAGAGCCGCTAGCACCAACTAAAGCTATTGTTTCACCAGGTTTTAATGTTAAATTAAAATCTTTTAATATAAGTTGATCACTTCTTGTAGGATAATAAAATGACACATTTTCAAATTTAATTTCTCCTTTTAAATTATCAGGTGGAATTGTGTAACCCTTAACTATATCAATTTCGGGTTGTACAGCTAAATACTATAAGGAATACAACGTACAAAATATCTTAAATAAAATTTGGATAACATTAATACATACTTCAAATATTCTATTGCCAGCTGTCATCCCTCGGACCATTGTACCTAATAAAATAGATCCTTGTGATAAAGATCGTTGTACCCCTTGAGTGGCAACAAGAAATGCCATCAGTTGTCCTGGCGTTAGACTATCTGTTGACATTAAGTGACCACCCAAAAATAAAGTTGTTAAAACCATACTAAAATTAGTGAATTTTTGATTTCAGATTAGAATTTCTAATTAGTAATATAATTTTAATACCTTATATAATTTTCTTTACCTGTTTAAGAAGAAATTAGTTAAACCTTGAAATATTGCAATACCGTAACCTAATTGTTGCGATAGCTCGGCAGCATTATTAGTTTCTCTATTAAATAATTCACATTCAGTGAATTCCGATGCGCAAGCTCTTACAGTTCTAATATTTGATAGAGCTTCTTCACAAACTGATGTTGCGCGTTCCGACTTCAGATAGGACACATTTTATTTTTTTAATTGTGGAATATTTTCAAATTAACTTACTTGGGCCTGTGATTTTTTACTTAACTCTCGAAGCTTTCTACCTAGATAAGTCATAAAAGTTACCACTAATGGCACAGATGCTATAGCAATAAAAGCCATATGGGGTGATATAAGAAATAATGAAACACCACCTCCAATTAATTGAGCAGCACTTCGAAGACCTTGAGATATGAATTGTTTAAAACTTGATTTGAAATCCTGAACATCAGCCGTAAGTCGATTCACTAGTTCACCAGTTCTATTCTTATCGAAAAAACTTAAATCTAAAAAAAGAGTAAATTCAATGTTATGTATTAAATTAAAAAACATTTAATTAATTTTCAGGTGCCTACCCTGAATGATGATTTGTTTGAATAAATCTTGACGTATTTTTGCAGCCATTTTTTCCCCTATTCTGCTCAGTAATAAAATATATAAAAATGTAAAAGATGATTGCAAAACATATATGCCAAGTAAATTAGCTGCTGGGCGACTAACATCACTAAGGAATGTATTAGAATGCGGATCTTTTACGAATGTGTTAGCATATTTTGCTAATGTATTGATAAGATCTCCCAATAGGTTCGGTATTTTAATGTTAAAGTATGCTACAGCTAAAGCTGACTAAAAAATTAATAATTTTTATATTAGCAAAATATTTTTATTGCTTTCGTTTATCATGCACATACAAGTATAGCTCCAAGTAATTCCCAAAAATATGGCTTTAAATATTCCCAAAATTTTTTCCAATCAAATTTAACATCCTTATGTTCATCAATTCCAGTCTGTATGACACCTAATTACAATGCATATTTACTAATTAAAATACAATAATATACACTATTTCAAATTGTATTAACCAGATAAACGATCTGCTTCACAATGTACAAAAAATCTGTTTCCAACCTTGGCACCTAGCCCAAGGGAAATACCGAATCCACTTAAAAGTATTTGTTTCGTATTCGATCGTCCAACATTCTCTGTATTTTTACGATTTTTTATATTTTTTGTAAAATTTTTGTTTATTTTAAATGATTTAATTATATCTTTGGCAGTGTTAGGTAAATTATTACTAGGAAATCTGGATATATTCAGTATTGTCCTAAAAGAAAAAGCGAAAAGTAAATAGCTTCATGTTAATATCAGTTTGAACTTTGTAATAAGCATATACCAAAATAATTTTTAAAATCAATTCACAGCATTGATGACATAATTACCTTATTTGTGTTAAACTTAAAGATAATAAATACACTTATGATGTAACTTACCTATGAATCTCGTTTTTTCCACAGTTCGAAATTAACAAACGCAACATTTTAATAAAAAAATATGTAAATATAGGTAATTAAATTAACATAAAAAATTTTGATTTTCTCTTAAGGGCTCCGGAGTTAAAATATCACATAACTAGAAGGTTGATATAGCCAATTTGATCAATACGTTTTTTTTTTGTATTCGGTATGTCTTGTACTAGTTAAGAAAAGAAATAAAATAAAACCAAAACGAAATATGTAATTCAAATGTCATTGTCAAATTGTATCTAATTTGAGAGAAAAACAAAAAAAAAAAACAAAATAAAATTTAGCTCATCGAGCTTTGTTGTTATATTTTTAACTTTATGAATGAAAACAAACAGGTGAAATGTCAAATTTCAATGAGAATGTTTGTGCAATTGATTGTAGTGAAGTATTTATTTACATAAAAATGTAAACAATTTGTAACAAGGCATTTCGTTTTCTATTATTCCTACCTTTTGGTGAGTATCTGTCAGCTGTTCGGAGAAACAAAATTTGTAGAAAAATGAAATATTCGAAAAATGTTTTCTATGGTGAGTTTCAATTCGTTTCGGTTTGTGTATAAACTGTAATGAAACGATAAATTTTTCTTTTTAGTACAAAATTTAAAATATGCATTTTAATTGCAGTTATTTATAACTTGTTTTATAAGAGTAATTTAAAAATAAGCAGGATAAAAAGGATGATCCGCATTTCTAAATAAGTAGTTGAAAAAACTATGTGTTATATATTTTTAGTTTCAGCAATAAAGTGAAGAGCACTTACTAAAATTGAAATTTAACGTTAATTTGGCCTTATTAGCAATGAAATTTGAATTGGTGAATTAACTAGAAGTAGGCTATAATTAAGGGTGGAACTTAGGTGGTTTGTTGTTACAATTGTAATTTTTTTATACTATCACAACTGAAATCGGAATTGCAGGAATATTGTACGTATTAAAACACAATTTAAATTTGTTGTAAGAAAATGTGGTAATTGCTGAATTAAATAAAACAATATTTATACGTTTAATATACATACATATTAAATTATTGATTATTGCCATTGGATAAATCAAAGAAGAGATAATAATGTTTGATAGGGTAGTATAGTGTTATTAACATTTAGAAAGGCAGTTTCACTAGTTGCAGTTTTTGAATTGTATATTAACACAAGTTGGAACCGTGTGGATAGCTGAATTTTGTATTAATACCATGTATATTGCTGCATTTTGTAAGTAAGGCCTACTTATACCATTTTATCATTCATCATAAAACACAATCCAAAAATCTGTTAATTAATCTAAACGAAAGTATATGTACATGTTTTTGATAAACCGTTGAATTCCCAATTTATCCATGTCTGTCCGTCTGTCTAATTGTTCTAGTGATAACTCTCAAACTGAATAAGTTAAATTTACTAAGTTTTCATAAATGATTAGTAAACACCAGAATCATATTTAAAGTGGATATGATCCAGACAATTTTTCGGGTAGCTGCCATACAATTTTAAGTGTTATTTGCCTATATTTCAGTTATAATTGTTAAAGTCTATATAGTGTTGAAAACTCAGGTAACTGAATATTATTATTCGGAAGCTGTGTTCGATAAAAGCTATTTAAATTTGTCGACTTATTGTATATTATTATAGTTTAAAAATATTAGAGAAACAATTGAAACTACAGTGCTGAAATAGAGAAATATCACAAACAAGTGGCCACAAATAAATGGCAGGAGTATATACATATGTATATAAAATGGCACTATTTTACATATGTATATAAAATAAGCACCAAACTTATCAAGAGGTCGTATAAAAAAGGTGTCAATTATCAAACAAACAATTCTTAAAACCACTCATTCGTATGGTTATCACAGAGTTTACATGGACAACTCTATATATTCTTGTTTGTTTAATAATTTTCGCGAGACTTTATAATTTATTCAAGTTTTTTTTTTCAATATTTTTACTACATAAAATAAATTCAACGTAAAAATTTAAAAAGTCGTAACAAAATATTCGATAAGTAAATTATTACTTGATTTTGTTATTAACTTTCACTCGTACATGTATGTATACATATATGTATGTGTAAGTAGAAAAAATTATTTTTGAACATTTTATTTATTACTCTAACTACACAACTATGTTATTTTTTTGTTTTTTAATTTAACTTGTTTAAAAAGATAAAATTAATTGCTAGCAATAAAATTTCCTTTAAATAATAAAGATCTTGACATTATTAACTTTACAATTACATCAATATTACACATTCACACAATGTACAGTTTGTTAAAAAAATTGTTTTTGAGTTTGTTCATTCAAGTGACATCGAAAGCGTTACGTAATTTCTCATAAAAAAAATTTAATTGAGAAAAATTCCAATAGTTTTTAACATTGCTAGCACCAAATAATTAAAATTTAGTGTTTTAAATAGAAAATTTTTATTTTGGTAAATCATAACAAAAATTTTTCTAAGTGGAAAAATTGGTTGGATCTACGAGACTGCCCATTTGTTTTGTATTTACTTATTAGTCTAAGTTCAATAAGAAAATAGTATACGAATTTTGCTAAAATTTTATTCAAAATTGTAAAATTAGATTATCGAACTTTAAAATATTGGAAAACACGAACATTTTGTTATTTAATATTGTCAAATGCTATTAATTTTCTTCAAAGATAAGACATTTTATAATTTAAGATTGTATAGGATGAAAGGAAATTTCAAAATCGCATACTCCATTATTCTGTAAAAAATTTTAGTTTTATGAAGCTAAAAGAGTGATATATATAATAGAAATAATTATGACAATTCTGTTAATTTTTAAATCTGTTAATACACTTTCTACCCACCTGTATGTGTTGTAAGGACTAAAAAGTACTTCAACATTTTAATTCTTCTTTCATTTATCTACGGTATGTCTGATAGTCTGTTTGTAATTTAAATTGAAAATACCAAATAAAAATTAAAATAACTTTTCAAACTGTTACAAATTTTCATTAAAAGAAAGAAAATTATCACGCCAATAAACACTAATGACAACATTAACAAAAATTATTTTTGACTTATCGCCGCTCATCCTAATGAAAGACAAAGAATAATATAATAATAATCTGTAAAAGGAGAAAGCAATATTTTCAATTCAAGATTTCTAATACAATATATAAAAATTGTGGAAATCCTAATAAATCATGATAAGTTTGTAATACCTTCGTGCTTATCTATAAAATATTTTTAATAGCATAAAAACTAAAATTGAATAAAGAAACAAAGACCTTACGTTTAAGTGATATGAGCAGTGTAATATTGTATGCTCAAACGAATTTTTCAATTTAAATGAAGTGAAATAATATAAAAACTAATTGACTGCTTTTGATTATATATTTTACCTTCACATTTCCCTTTTTGAACTCCATTAATTTTAACATTAGAGAAATATGCCTTTCCAAATTGTATGCTTGATATTTGTTGAAACATTTGCGCGAATGACATAAAAATATCAAATTGTGTTGTGTTTCTGTATAATCCCTTTCGTCAGCTGCTTTTATATATTCTTAATTATCAAACACACTTCAACGCTAAAACTATATTAAAGATGTTTTCTTCAAATGGTAGAATTTTAACTTTTACTATGTTACTTTTTTAGCGCTTTCCAAAATCTTTTTAAAAAAAGGTACTATCACTCTGTCCGTCCGTCCGTCGACATGTTCACAAAACTTCTGTACCCCAAAAGATAGAAGCTGAAATTTTTACTGGAAACTTATTTTCGTACAAGAAAATTTTTACTTATCTCCGCCCGTCTAAAAGTTAAGGCTTCTCAAAATCCCAAGTCCCATTTTTTAAATTTTGCAAACGCCGAGAATGGCTGGACTGTGCTACCGCGGAATACTGGTACATTGAACTTTAAAAAACAAAATGTCTTTTCAAATTTACCATTATCTAAAATCCGTTTTTTCCAAATTTTTGATATCTTTTTTAGAGCCTGAAATTTTAGTAGCTAAAAAATAGTTCATTCAATAGCAAAATTTGAATTTTCGGTACCTTATATTTGAATTTGAAAGCTTTTCCAAGTTTCTATGAATGCAGAAAGCTAACGCCAAATACTACACTAAAAAATATATATATTATTTTCTTTCAACTCGCGCAATTAAACCTGAATAACTTCTTTAAATTTTTTTTTGTTTTATTTTAAGAATTGCATTCATTACTCACCCTAAATATATGCAATCTTTGAAATATATAAATATATTTTTAATGAATGAAACTAATTTGACTAATCCCTACTAAATAGTTTTTAAAAGTAGTATTTTCACTTATTGAAGAGAAAAGTTTTACTTTACAAAGCATTGGTTTGTCTCAACTTTATTTTTAATTCTTTTTAGTTAAGATGACTTGTTATTTATCGCAAGTGTTTTTTATTTATCGCATAAACATGATTTGACTTTCCAATCCGATCCATATTTTTTTATATTCATTATTTATTTTGCAAAAATGCAGTATTATTGTGCAGTAATATAGGATTTTTCAATTCTAAATTAGAAGGTAAAAGTTAGATTTTGATTATCTTAGAATCAGTAAAATATTAAGAAATCGAAAAAATCGGGAATCGAAACTGTAATATTCGTATTTTAATTTGATAAATTATTTAGGAGATATTATTTTAAGTGAAACTGTATATTGGTGTTAATGTATAAAGTAGTAAAAATTATTATACAAAATTTGAAATTATGGAATTTTTATGGATTTTCTACGGTTGAAGTAATATTGACCTATCGAATCATGTGATATAGAATCTAATATTAATAAAAAGGACATATTTTCTCTTGGGACTCGATAAATATCAACATATTTTAAATAGCAAGACTTGTATGTACGCAATTAAAAAAATATTGGTCGTTAAAATTCCATTAAATATACTGTCATTCAATACCATAGAACGAGTAGTGTTTGTATATGCAATGCTTATTCCAAGATTTTATAATTGATCTATTAACACAGCACCATAGATTATTAACAATTTTACAAAGGTTACGAGTACCTTTCCACATTTTCATTCCACAATTTATTTTTTTTTTGATTATTATAAATTTTTGATTTTGATTATTTTCAAATAAAATTTCTGTTATACTTAAAAACCTTTTTGTAAATTTGTGCATTTTTGATTTCTTCTTATCAGTTTTCAATTTTATTATTAGTGGCAAAGGTCAA